AGCCAAACATTTGGACACTTTTCATTAATTATTAGTTAACCAATGTCACTAAATGTGGGTACAATGTATTAAATATATAAAATCTTATAATTACTTTTAAATAGTCAAAAGAAGAGTAACATATATGGAAACTTGTAACTAATAACACTTTAAATATGTTCTCAATAAAGGCTTGTAGGGTGGTACAACTTTAGTAATTGTGGAACAAATTAGAGACTTAATTATAATTTATTCAGGTCAAACCTTTGTTTGCTTTCATACTTATCTGCCACAATCATGTCTATTTATATAATTTTAAATACAAATCATTGAGGAGAGGGTAATCGATCTGCCTATGAAATGACCAACTACTCAGCATTAATCTGTGCACTTTCTGTCCAACTACCAAATGGATTATAATCCCCAAATCGATGCAGTTTAATAATCGGCTTGTCAATGTCTTCCTTACGAACATTTTCCATTTGCTGATGAGCTAATTAACTGAATGCTTTCACTGCCAGCACCCCTTTTTTGGCCCATTCCCCTGATTTTAGTCAGTCTTCAAAATGCAGAGTGTGTGTGTGTGTGTTGCTCGAAATGAAGTCAGAACACATCTGAGGTCTCTGCCGGCTCATTCTATTCCATACTCATTCTTCACCATACCCATCGCCGTTTGCTGAGCTCTGTGTCTGTTATGTAATAGCATGTTAGGTGTATAACTTTTATTATTATGATTATACTTTTGCCCCAGCTCCAACTACCATGGACAATGTTGCTGTTGTTGCTCCTGCTGTTGCTGTTGTTGTTGCTGCTGCTGCTGCTGGTACTATATGTTCTTATATGGTAGCTGGTCTGGCTCTGAAGAGATACGTGAAAGTCACGTGAGTCATTAAAATGGAATAGCAGTCAGGTCTAAGTAGAAGCATGACGAAGGGCGATTGGGAGGCGATGATGTTGCTGCTGTGTCGGTTGATGTTGCTGCCGGACCAGTTGCTGTTGTTGCTGCTATACTGGGACAGGAAGCGAACTTGGCCCCAGCTTAGGGCAAACACAAGTGCAGCTATCGTGCAGGGAAAACAATTATAGAAGGGTCAAATGGCTCTTATATAATAAAAGGGAAACCGGTATGAGACACAAATAAAATGCCAATCCTCGGAACGAATGCGCTGTTTTTTTTTTTATTAAATTAGTTGCGTACGTAAAAGCGGAATTTTGGCTTGAATTAAAATTAAAATTAAACAAATGGTAAACACACACCCAGAAAAAAATCGGCATTGATTCAATAAAATCGCCAACGAATTTCAGCCAATGGCAACTCGCCTTTCATTTTAGAAAATTACTACGCTAAAAATGTACAAAAAAAAAAAGAACTATTTATATTACATAGAAATTTCCCTAAAAATAAATCTTATTTTAAATTTTATTACTGAAAACATATTTCACGTATAAAATTTAAGACATAGTAATGGTTTCATAGTTATTATTTAAAGTTTAATAAGTTCGACCAACGATGTCATGAGAACCATCAAAAACTTCAACGGACAAAGCTCCATAATTTTAATACAAAACACTTATAAAGCCGAAATATAGTTATATTTAATAATATTAATAATATTTATATCTGCAAGGGCATATAAGCCTCGGCTTGACCAAGATTGCTACTCTTCTTATTATTAATTTTCTTCCACAACGGTTTTACAAAGTAAACCAAAACTGTCATAGTTTAACATATATATTGAAACTACACGATCTTCAACATATGTTTCCGATCTGTGGCCCCTCTTTCTCAGTGTATTTGTGGGCACTTGCCCACATAAACAAAGTGGTTGTTGCCACTGCTGTTGTTGTAATTGCCTGGCATGTTCTTTGTCAACGCTAATGTCACCGGAGCTGAGGTTTCTCCTGGGCTTTCGTTGGCAGTCCGACTTCCAGACCCAGATATAGATCCAGATCCATAGCCATTCGCGACGCCAGCGCCATCGTGGTACATTGTTGTCGTGGCTCGACCCTGGGGAGCTTGGATTTTTAATTGCAATTAATTTTTGACGCTACCTTCTTGCTAAGTGGCAGCTCGTCATATTTCCCGGGGGAGTTGTTGTCAATCCGAATCGATTTCAGTTCGGTTAACAGCGCATAGTGTTAATTGCAGCAGTTCTACTCCCGAAATTTATCTTAATTTTTGACTTTAATTTAAGCTGCTGTTACGGAAAAATGTATTTCCCAATTTCATTTATTCTTCTTGTTAAATGAAATTAAGTTTGCCACTTTTCACTTATTTTTCAGGCTTGGCAGTTTAAATTTCTAACCGAATCGTGGGATAACAGTCCCTGTATCGATTGGTTGTTCGTAAAATAACCATCACATATAATAATTTAAATTCATGTTAACTTTTCCTAACCTAAGCCTTATCATGAAATTGAGAGAGATTTTGTATTCTATCTTTACCAAATTATAAATCAAAAATTAAAGCTAATTAATTGAGGAAAAGGCCTGCATACGTAAATTAAATTTTTCTGTGTATAAATATGAAAAAACCAGGGCACTTAATGTTAACTTTTCATTTATATTTTTGAAAAGAAGCTTCGATCAGCAAACAGTGTGGGGCCATGGAAAATAAAGGCTGCAATATTATTTGAATGGCTGGGCAAACCTGTGGTCCTTAGTCGACGTCTGCTTTTTCCGCTTTCACTGAATGCACTTTTAATTGTTTAATGCCGGCCACATTTTGCTTTAATTTATTCATATGGCGGTATATTGATTTGGCCGCGTTAAATAAATTGCCACTGCATATTTGATTTCAGCGCCTTGGCAGGCCCATAATTTCAATTTCGTTTGTCAATTGCGAATGCAATTGCATCACCGTCCTTTGTTGTTACTCAATTAACATTTAATTATCCGCAAATGCGAATCCAGCTTTACTCGCTTGAAGACTGACTGACTGACTGACTAACTGACTGACTGACTAACCGACTCAGGAACGGAGTGACTTGCCATCCAATTGACCGCTGCATAAACTGAGAAAACTTGGCCAGCCCACCCCAAATGTATACACGAAACGCGTCCGAATAATGGGAAAATAAAGTAGAAACGCCGCAGTAAAAACTTCAGTTGTCATGACCACTAATTGAAAAGGCTGCCAGTCAGGGGATGAAAAGCGTGGTGGTCGCCGAGCGGTATTCCATGGATATTCCCCCCGGCAATCCATGGACATCCATCGCTGAAAGCGACAGGTAAGGCGATCGCCCAGGGGATGGGACAAACAGGTGTCGCAACGGGGTACAAACGGGAAGTGAAAGGGCTCAAGCTCATCGCTGGCGAAAGTTGAAAACGTACGGAGTTGAGGCGTTTGCGAAAACTAACTCTAGCTACAACTAGTTGGGAATTATGTCAGCAGCGCATTGGAAACAGGATTCCCTTGTGAACAAAAGTATAAAAGCTGAAGCTCAATGCGGGTCAACTGATATAATATCGCTAGTGCTTCCACTCTATAAACTAAAAAAGGAACGCCTTAGTAGACTAAATTTTGTTTGAGTATTAAGGGACAAATATTATGAATCGTTCATTATTCTTTAAGTAATAATAATAAAAGCCAACCATCTTAATTGTGTAAGCTAGGGTTGGTAAAACATCAATAGCTAAAACAAAATGTAATATTAAAATCGAAAATATCTCTGCCATCCATGTAAACTTTATTTTTTTCACCCATGGCTTTAATAAATATATATTTTCCGAGCCCTTCTCTTATAGAAATCGGTGAATTATTGAATTCCCTTAACTCTAGCCCTTTTAGCATTATTATTTAGCATTGCTGGCTTTGCTGTCATTTCACCAGCCGGAAATTCAGAATAATTAATATTTCGCTGCTTTTGCTGCTATTTTTTTTTTTTTCTTTTTTTGCCAACGAAATTTCCGGTTAAGACGACGAGCAGCCGGCAGGAGTCATTCGGCGCATTAGCTGCCATAATTTTAATGGCGTTTAATGGCCCTGGAAGGGAATTGAATGGGGAAAAGCGAAAAAACGCATTAATTAGAAAACGAGCGAGCAACAACAACACGGACTAAGTAATAAAATAATAATAATAAAGCATGCCAACGTGACCGTTTGCCACGAGGGGAAAAGTCAGTAAATTAGGAGCCCAGAAAAAAGGAAACCCACAAAAATTCACGCACTTGACACAAATTCCATTCGGGAGGCGGCAACGAGCATTAAAATTGAAAATGAAAAAAAAAAAATGAAACGAAATTCAAGAGTGGAAAAAGTGGGCAAAGGCATGCAGGAAAATAATTCATATTACAAACGATGGCAGTCCAACAAAAAACAAAATGGTCTAATGTTGTCAGCATAGAATGGCAGGAAAAAAACACCAAAAGGACGCTCGAAAGACTACAAAATGGCGACCGGGAAATGGGTTAGTCCTGCGACCACCCTCCACAGCCACTCACATAAACAGGGTACTATTAATTCTCTGTATAATGAAGACCTGATGGGGGCTTTGCATTAGCACTTTAATTACATTTTTCAACTATCTCTTTAATTCGCAGCCGTTTTTTTCATTCATTAGGCTTTAATGATGGATACATTTTGAAAATACACACACACAGAAATTGGCTTGGTCAGATTGATAGTAATGTGACTGTTAAAGGAATTTTTATAACTATTGAAAGCAATCTTAAAGCAATATACTACCATCAAAATAGTTACTGCATACTAATAAGTCCCAAACGGTTTTAGCACTTCAAGTACAGTGATAATTTTACAATACAAAGATGTAATACACTTTTAGTGGTAGAAATACCTTTTTATGATTTATTAACCATATTATTATACGACTAGCATCTATCGACTCGACTTTCTTTACTGTTTTTGCAGTTCAAAAACTATTATTACTACTATACTTAAGCGGGGTAACTATTTTCGTAATTTGTCATTCCTAAAAAGCTTAGGTATTTGGTAGTCTACAAAATGATGACAATTTTATCACTTAACTAACAATGTTCTTCGATTTTTGTCATTTTTGCAGGGATGTGGCAAGAGGCAAATATCCGGGCGAATGCGACACGCTGATTGAGACCGGCTGAAAACGGAAGGACAAACGGAAGGAGACAGGTACATACAGGGATAAAAGGGATACAAGGGATACAAGGGACTGCCAGGAAAATGTGCAAGGGCAGCAATTCAGGAACGACAGCCACGCTGGTAAACTTATTAGCGAAATGCACGAAGTCAACAAACGGACAGCCGCCAGTAGAAGTCCTCGAGCAGGAAAAGGAATCGGAAAGTCGGGGGAATCTCGTGCCGCAAAAGCAACGAACAAAACGTCAAAACAAGCAACATCTACAGCTGCAGCAGCAGCAGCAGCAACACCAGCTGCAACAACAGCAGCAACCTCAGGAGCAGCATAATCAGCGCCAGCAACAAGGACATCAAATAGAGCAAATGGCGATGGGGACAAATGAAGAGGCGGCGGCTGCCAAGGAGCACGAACGGCAGACCAAACTGGCTGACTGCAAATGCAAAGGCAAACACCAGCAGCAACGAAATCGCAATAATGTTGCCGTCGTGCAGCAGCATGTCCTGCGGTTGCTCCCCTTCGTCCTGTTCGTCCTGTTCCCGGTCACCGCAGCCTCGATGACACCTTCGGCCAGGATCTCCAGTGCCAAAGGCTCGTCCCGTGAGCTCCTCTTCACGGAAATGGGCGGTGCAGTCGCCTCAGGGGGCATGGCTGGAGCAGCCAGTGCTGCAGGAGGAGCACCAGGAGGAGCAGCAGGAGGAGCATCTGCGGGCGGAGGAGGAGCGGCCGGAATCGAGTGCCCCAGCTTCGACAACACCGCCTGTCCATGCTACAAGTTCGAGGATGGTAAGTGCGAACGGTCGAGCGAACTAATTAAACGCATCAGCCGAGACTTGAAGGCAAAGTTTATTGCACCCAGGACGTGCGGTCGAGTGCGAAAGCAAGTCATCGACTGTAAGATGCCTAGTCTCCCTTTTATAATACCCTTGAAGAGGGTATTATACATTTTCGCACATATATGTCCGTCTGTCCGTTTATATGCAATTGAATCCCTTAATTTTAAAAGTTATCTCCACAAAACTTTCACTTTATATTGCTGTTAGTATAGAAATGGAAACGAAACGACTATATCATCGAGCTCCCATGGGAACAATCGGATGATAAATACAAAATTTCTATAGCTTTTCAATTTATACAAATATTATTTGTTATGTAGTAACAGTTTACTATTTTAAAAGAACAGTTTTTAATTTTATTAAGACCAGGCGACGATATTATATAGCTGCCATAGGAAATATGCAATACTTTAAGGATAGCCTCCTAAAAATCGAAACAAAAAAGTTGGCAAGAATATTTAAGTTTTGCAATTAAACAAAAGCCATTGTACCTTAGGTTTTGATGTTTTGTTGACATAAATTCAGCTTCTTAAGAGAACAACATCATCCATGCTAGCCTTATGCAATGCAGAATAATTTTCTTTGAGTTCAGGCACACAATCAGTGATGGGAAACACCATCTATGAATATTAATAAGCACCTGCGCAGGAGCATATATATGTTTTTCAATAGGTATATATATGTATACTATATCTAGGCAGCTTGCAGACTAATGATATGCATTACATGCGACTGGCCGAGACAGTTTCTTTGATTTTACCATCGAGTGGAACTAATTGAATGGGCACAAATTGCCCCTGTCCGTCGACGACAAAGCTGATAATATTCCCGATTCACAGGACTATTCCTGGAGTGTCCCGGAACGACTGCCATATCGCTGCGCTCGACCCTCGAGCGAATTTCGGCGCCGATACACTCGCTGTCCATCTACGACTTCGACCGCTCGGTGACGTCACTCTCGCAGGACGTCTTCCAGCCGGGCGTCCACATCCGGCACCTGCAGTTCTCCCACTCGCACCTGGAGGCCCTCAAGGACAACAGTCTGCGCAACGTCCGCTCGAGCCTAGAGTCCCTCAGCATTGTCAATGGCAAACTAACGCAGGTGAGTCTAAACGGTTTCTCAGCTTTCGCAGGCTCAACAATATAGTAATATTGTTATTCAAAAGCGGTAACATGAAATCAAGAAAAATATCAATTAATTGAATCCAATCTTGTTTCATGTGTTCATGTAACTTAAATGCTCGATGACAGTTCTTTGGTGGTGGCGGAACTGACCGAAATATTTAAGATTTTTGAGCAAAAAATACATTTTAATACAAAAAATTGCTAATCTTTTTTATATGCAAAACTTATTATTGTTAAGAATTTGGTTTAAAATGTGTGCCTTACTTTCGACTTGTTGAATAAAGATTTCGATAAATGTTAAGCATTTAGAAACGAAATCCAGCCTAATGAAAGGTACGCAACACTTGTTGTGTAATAAGTGTAACATTTCTCCATTATTTTCCTACAAATTCCTATTCATGTTGTATTAACTTTTTGACTGCACTGCGAAGTTAAAATCTCCAAAAACCGTGGGGCCTTAACCCAATTTGTTGCCGACTTTTGGGCAGCAAAGGGTTCGAATCGCAGCTAAGTTACTGCATCGAATTCGCACCATGGGCAAACGAACTCTCTTTGTGGAATTTGTTAATGGGTTAATAACAAATATATATTTAATGGCTCCGTATGAACTTCGAGAGCAAAGAAGCCAGAGATTTTGGAATTAAAATGAAGCGCTATACTATATCGTTTGTTCTTGTTTAAAATAACTAAAAGTACTAAAAGTATGTTTAAAGCCAACTTTTTTTTTGTTAATAATAAAGCAGGAAAAATACAATTTGTTAGGAGAAATCGAATACTTGTATATATTTTCTTAATACAATCGTAAGACAAATAATCAAAATATTTTTAAGTCAGTAATTCTTTACATTTTACATTTTTGGATTTGAAAGAGATAATTATGAACTATTAAAAATTACGGTTATTCTGATAATGTCAGTTAAAAGGCATTAGTTTTACTAATTTGAAAAATGGGTTTTGGTCCGGAAAGGTGGTAATTTGTCCCATGGTGCGTGAAAGGGAACTCACTTATGAGGACTCGCCGCCCAGCCACATAAATTGCATTTCGCGGTGGTTTCCGCTGTGGTCTCGCCAAAGCTAATTAGTCCATCGAAAGCTGGTCCCTGGATCGGGATCGGCATCGGCATCGGCATCGGGATGGGGATCTGGTGCTGAGAACTCCGCACCATACGGCGCCGAATAATGTTAAACAAAGTTGGGCAACCAAAAAAATGCAAATGGCTTTCTAAGCCATTAAATTTGGAAAAACAGCCGCCGCAACGGCAGCGCCAGCATCCAGCATCCAGAATCGAGAATCCAGAATCCAGAATCCTGGCCATCCCAGAATCCTGCGTTTCACATTCAACAGGGGCGAGTGGCAAGTGCAAAATGGGCAGGGGGAAAATGGGTAGGGGAAAATGGGAAATGGCAAATGGGAAGCGAAAAGCTCGCCGCCAGCCATAAAAAGTAATTTGCCGCCGCCGCCGAATAACAAACGAGCCAAAGCCAAAAACAATTGCGTTCAATAAAATAATTTGCAGGCGAGCGCAACTGGCAAAATCGGCCAGCCGGAAACGCACAGAAAGAGACAGCAGCAGAGAAACAGATAGAGAGGGCTATATCTGTGTTCGGCGAACACATAGCTTTAAGCGTTCGAGGTAGTAAATAAGCAAATATCCATCAAATTGCTTGAAAGTCACAAAAACTGCAGTCAAAATCGCAATTAAAGTCATATTTTCATTGAATTTTCCACGGCCACAATTCTATGTCATTTGAAAAAGTTTTTTATGCTTTTATGGAGCTTAAAACCAAGATTTAACATTTAAAAATAAAGACATACATGACAATCGATTTTATATAATCGATTTTATATACCCTTTAATAAGAAAATGTAATTGTCTTAAATTGAAATTGAGAAATATCCTGAAGGCATTGCTTTTTAGATATCCAAGATCTTATAATAATTGACCCAACTCTGCCTATTTTTGTACAAACATGTTGTAGATATTTTTCAACTAATTAAACTTATCAAATTGAAGCAATTAATAAAAAATATTATCGAATCATTTTTTTACATCAAAACTACGAATTGAAAGTCAAATGTTATCTTCAAATTTTATTTATTTTTCGATTTTTTGACCCTAGTAGGAGGTCAAATTTTACTAAGTAGCCAAGGTCGGCTTATGTATTGCGTGGCCTTGGTCTTGATGTGACCACAACGGGCAGCTTTTCACAGACATCTGGCTTATCGCCCACCATTCGATTTCCACAGCGTCGTTTATCGGTGCGGTGCCAGTCTGAAAAACATTTAAATCAATTGCCAATTTTAAAAGTCAAAACTGCTATTTTTTTTAATTATAAAGAAGGTTGTCTTAAATAAATTCTTTGGCTATGTCCTTAAATAAAGACATTCCACTCAAATTGTATTAATAGGTCACTAGTTCCATCTGACTTTTTAAAACAAAAAGTATTTCAGAGAAAACTAAAAAAAAACAAAATTCTTAAGTATTATGAGGGCTTGACTTTTGGTTGTTCGAATGGAGAAATAATGTTTTTGGAAAACTGTAAAATTAAATTGTAATAGATCTCAAAATATACAAGTAGTTTTGTAAGTCTAAGCTAGAAGACAAAATATATCAAAATATGTTCTAAATTGTAATACTGAAACCCATATAAGATTTAAAGGACCCCATTGCTCGAGGTGTCAAATTACTCACTGTTTCTGGGCCGAGCGTGGCAATTCTGGTTGAGCAGTTGGCAATTGTTGGCCAGCAGCTTGCAGCTCTGCAAGTTTCGCGACCGGACGCATATCTCCTCCGCGGGGGGCGTTCTTTTGCAGGCCACCGGACGGGCGGGGCACGGGTGGTAGCAAGGTCGCCGGTTCTCAGCACCCACGGCCCGGATTCCGCGGCAGTCCAGCTCGCGGGTGTGAACCACCTGGAGGGGATTGCGATGGCGGTTGAGGGCCAGCAGGGTGCAAATGTTCGCGAAACGCTGGCAATCGCCATTCGGAAAGCGACCGCACACTCGCGGACTGTGCGGAATGCATTGGGGCGGACGTATGCAAAGGGGGCGTGGCGTTGGAGCACGGATCACAATCGACTCAATAGTAGTGGGTTCCCTAGTGGTCGTCCTGGTGGTGCCACTAACCATTGCAGTAAGGACGATGCCTAAACAAGTAATTTGTAAATAGTTGAAAATTTAAATAAATTTAAAATTTAATATGCATTACACTTTATATTATGATTCAATTTTTTATTTAAATATTATATATAAAAGCTATTTTTAAAATAGTTGTAATTTAAGATTGTATGAGTCAAATATTTCTGTTCTTTTCAATCTTGTTTAGAGAGTGCATTGGAATTGGCAAAATTTAACAAAAACAGTTTACAAATCAGACAAATTGGAACATGGGATTGCAAAAGTCACAGGATTCCGTTAAAAACAAAACTAATTTATCCCTGACTTGACAACAAATTAAGAAAAAGAGATTTTCGTCCTACCCAAAGTCCAAGCCAAGTTTAGTTTGCACATTATTCAGATTAAAGTTAAAATCACTGCTGCCTCTGATGTTCTTGGTTGGTGCTTTTTATACGTTTTCTTACTGATATACAAAGAACTACCCGGAAAAGATTTTACATTTCACGGTTTCATATTTACATTTTTTACATTTATAGCTGATTGTTTTGTTTACAAAATAAAAAAAGCCTTTACTTAATAAAATGTAAAAGGCGCTGCTATTTATACAGTCTTATTTACTTAGCTACAAAAAAGTCTGATATTGTTTTAAAAATATAAATATTTTCATATTGATTTATGTGAATGAAATTCGACAGACCTTTTATATGTGCTTATCTGACATAAAAACAATTACCATGAAGCGATTTTATATGTATTGCTACGAATTTACCCGTACATATTTTTAGAAGCCATACCTCTTTATGGATTACTCTTTTGTTGAGGAAATTTTTATAAAATATACAAACTCTTACTGAATGAAATTTAGTTTGGCAAGGGTTTGAGAATATAAATACTTTCGTATGGAATTGTTTGAATGAAATTGCATTTTTTAAAGGAATTTTAATATTTGCCTTACATTAAGCACACAGTCCAACTGCGTTATAAAAACAACTACCAAAAAGAAAGTTAAAGTTTTACTTGTATAAACCAGACTTCTTTTTATAAACCAGACTTCTTCATTCTACAGCTGATTCATAACAAATAAATGTTTAATGAAATATTGATTTATTTGAATACGGTTTCATTTTGTTTACAAGTCAGCAACAAAGGCGGCCCCACAATAGTACAACATATGTTATGGCGAACACCTGATTTTTTGGTAGTCGCAGACCTATAAGTACTCCGCTTTTTGAGCGAAAAGTCATCAGTCGTTTCAGGCATCTTGTTAATCACTAACCAAACCCACCAAACCCAAAAGCAGCATAAACTATGTCGAAACTCAGCGTTGTCCTGTTGATTGCCACTGTGGTGGTGGCCATTGAGGCCACTAGCGTGGTGCGACCCAGTCGCTGCTGGGATCGCTGCACCCCGAAGGACCTGCAGGACCCTCGGCTGATCTGTGTCCGCGACAGGGCGACCAATTCCTGCACGAAGCTGCGACCTTGTCGCCTCCAGGAGCGGAACTGCATCCGCCGGAATGCCGGCAAGGAGCCGCTCCGAGAGACGTGTCTCAGCCAGTGCCGCTGGATTCCGGGCAGTAGTAGTAGCGCCAGTGGTCCCTGTGCCCCCAAGAAACGACCCGTGATCAAGAATTAGAGTGCCGCAATATACTTTATCCGCCTGTCTTTGGAATTCAAAATACCCATAAATATTTCATAATGTGCCAACAATAAAAATAAATATCATTTTATGGCAGACCATTTTTTCGCTGGCCAGCCCGTAGCCATAAATTTCGGTTGAATCGGGGTGGAGTCGCCTATCCTGCCGGGTTCTCGATGTCCTCGATGCCCTCGATGTCCTCGATGGCGCCAAACGGCAGCGCGAAGGTTCAATAAATTAAAATCGACTGCCATAAATTTCCATGTCAGTACATTAATTAAAAGGCCGTAATTCGCTTTGTCCATGTCAGGTGACACTGCATCTGCATCTGCATCTGCATCTGAATCTGCATCTACATATGCATCTGCATCTGCATCCTTTCGATCCTTTGGCCACCCACAGTTGACCAGTGTGGCGGAATGTCTGCTCAATCAATGCAATTAAAAGTCCCTCCACTCGGGTGGTCGTTCAAAGAAAATACGAGAAAATATATTCAATTGCAGCACTCCAGTTGCCATTGGCAGCCAAAGTTCTTTCAAAACATCATGATATTTGCTGAAAAGCAGGACCAAAGAATTAATTAAAAAAACGTCCTTTGTATGGGTATATTTTTAATTAAAAGAAAAAAAACTTAATAACATTTGGAATTTTTAAAAGTGACAAAAACTATTTTAATGTAAGCAAAGGAAACAATAATCGTATGTCCTTTATTTATTTGGTGCCTTACGTTAACGTCACTAAGTTTAATTATTGATAATTAGAGTTTAGGAATTCGAGAAATTAGCTCAATTATTTAAATATTATTTTTTACTATTATAATTTATTCAAATTCACATATTACGTAAACAATTTATATAAATTGAATTAAATTTTGCCTTAAAAGAATTGGGCAAATTTATTTAATTTTATTTACAACTGTTAAATCGAAAAAAATTTTTTCAGCTGGTTGGAACTTTGTAATAATATAGAAAGCATTAAACTGATATATATGACTGTCCCTAAAACAGATAAATATAATATCAGCTCTCATTTTTTAATGAAATTAATCAGTTTATTATTAATAATACAAATATACATATATATGTTGTATGAACAATATATTTAAAATGAATAATTTGAACTCGAAGTCATCACTATTAAAGGAACCACCCGGTTCGTAACCCGGAACTGGAACGTATATTAAGGTTGGAGCCCTGTTCGAACCAGACCAACGTCAGAACCGATTGTTTTAAGCCTTTTCAATATTACTTAAGTAGATTTAAAATTTGCCAATAACTCAAAAGTTCAAATGAATTGTTACCAGATATTGTAGAGTTGCATTTCCACTTGTATTACAATGGTTTTCAACTGCCTAACTTACTGAAAGCTAATTTCATATTAGCTAACTGATAGTATGTTGGCAACCCAGAAGCAGGCAAGCAATCAAATCAGGGCATCTCCAATCGAGTAGCCTTTGCCTTCGCCTCTGCTCACCTGTCATTTTCCATGACAGTTGTCAGCATACATTTTCCCCATTCAATTGGCAGCAGTTCCCGAGGTGTGAGTTACGTAGCAGTAGCAACTCCGGAAAACTACAATTAAAAAAAAAAAAAAAATCGTGCGGAAAGCGAAGTGTACATTTTTTTTGCAGTGCAAGTGATCGAGATGCCAAAGGATAAGAGTAAGGGTAAACGCGAGGGTGAGCCGCCCGTTAAGCGGCAGCGTAAAAATCGTCCCGAGAGCAGCGAGTCCAGCGACTCCTACTCGAGCTGCAGCTCCTCGGGCACCTCCGGATCATCCGGATCCTCCGGATCATCCGGATCATCCGGATCCTCTGGATCCTCCAGCTCGAGCGACTCCTCCAGCTCCGACTCGACCAGCGAGGACTCCGGGGATGAGTCGGATGAAGCAGACGGGGCCAAGAGGGCCAAGCACTCGTGCTGCCACCATCGGCACCACCGACGCCATCGGCGGCACCATCACCATCACTCGCCGCCGCGCCATCACTCCCATCGCCGTCATGGGCGCCCAGCCGGCCAGCGTCGCCATCGGCCCGAACATGGACGCTCCTCGAAGCGTCGCCGAGCAGCCGTCACCGCCGCCAAGACGGCAGTAGTGGTCAAGGAGGAAAAGCCCTCCAGCTCCGGCAGCCACCCGGTGGTGGCCATCCAGATACCGGCCCCCATTCCGCTGCCTGTGCCGGTGGCCATTCCGGCCGAGCTCAACACCACCCAGCCGCAGCCCGTGCCGGCTCCAGTTCCGGCTCCAGTTCCGACTCCAGTTCCGACTCCAGTTCCGGCTCCAGTTCCGGCTCCTGCTCCCGCTGCTCCCTTGGCCAGGGAGCTGGCCAAACCCAAGACCCAAACCCAAATCCCGGCCAAGACCATCACCAAGAGCCTGGCCACTGTGGGTGCCGCGCCCATGGGCAGGATCATGGCCGGAGGAGCCAGATCCAGCGGCATGAAGCTGGTGCCCAACCAGGTCAGGAAGGTATTGGCCAGTGGCTCCACTGCGAAGACTCCGGCAAGGATTGGTCAACCCAATTCAAGTGCCAGCCAGGCGGACTCCAATGACAAGTCACCGATGAGAAAGGAATCCTCCAACTCGTCCAACTCCAAGATGAGGGCATCCAAAGGTGAGCGACCGAGTCACGGTTCTGCGGTTCTGGTAATTTAAATGATTTTGAAACTAATTTAAATATCTGAAAATTTAATTAAAATTTAGACCATATTCAAACTTAAATAATAACTATTTAATTTAAATATCAAATGCAAACATTTAATATAATTAAATTAAATATGCCTTGAACAAAATATTATTTTTAAATATAATATTTAAGAATATTAAAGCGAAGACCGTATTAAACTCAAATATGTATCAAAGTCAAATAGGTCCCGTTTTAAATTTATATTAAATACGGTTTTTAAAGTTTTTACATTAATTTTATAATTTTAACCAATCACTTTAAATTGCATTGTATTTAATATGATGATTTTATGAATTATGCAATTTTAGATTAAAAAGCTAGTTGATTAATTGTACCACACCATATTTTTTATCAGAGAAACAGTGCAAGCAAGAAGGAAGTGCATCCGGAGGAGGTGGATCAGGAGGTGGAGGATCAGGAGGAGGATCAGGAAAAGGAGGAGCATCCGGAGCAGGTGGATCAGGAGGAGGATCCGTAGGAGGTGTATCAAGAGGAGGATCCGGAGGAGGATCAGAAGGAGGATCCGGAGGAGGAGGACCCGGAAAGGGAGGAGGATCCGGAGAAGGAGGATCAGGAGGAGGTGGATCCGGAGGAGGGCCAAGAGGAGGACCAAGAGGAGGTGGACCCCATGACCATCCCGACGACGAGGGCAACCAAACGGCCTATCGCAATGACAAGCACGCCATCGAATTACGCCAACCCGTCCGCACCGTGCGCCTTCACATCAAAGGACTGACCCGCCGGGTGAGCAAGGAGCACATCACCGAGATCTTCGGCCATTTCGGTGCCCTCACGGCCGTCGACTTTCCCATGGACCGCTTACAGGGACGCTTGGGGCGTGGCTACGCCTTCGTCGAGTATGCCCGTCCCGAGGACTGCGCCCGCGCCATCAGGCACATGAATGGCGGCCAGATCGACGGCAAGCGGATCACGGTGTCCGCCTTCCAGGAGAACATGCTGAAGGCTCCATGGCGCCACTACCGCCGCTACTCGCCGGTCAACTACCGCCAGCGCCAGCGCCAGCGTCACAGCTCACCGTCCAGCTCTCGCTCTCGCTCCCGCTCCCGCTGCCGCTCTTACGGCCAGTCCCGCTCCATGTCCCGCTCCCGCTCGCGGTCCTTGCCCCGCTCCCTCTCGCGGTCCTTGCCCCGCTCCCGCTCCTCCCGCTCGCAATCAGTGTCAGGATCGCGCTACAATCGCCGCTACCGCTCCCGCTCCCGCTCCCGCTCCCGCTCCTCCTTCTCCAGCGGCCGCTCGTCGCCACGCTACGAGCAGTACCACCGCCCCGGATCGCGTTCGCCTTAGGCAGATCGCACTGTCGTCGCGGAGGGCATAATGGGACATCCAAGCAGGTTCACAAATCGGCCAGATGTCGATATCCAAAATCTTGATTACTCTTAATTGAAATGTTAATATTTTCAATAAACAACAAGATTATGAAGAACAAAACGTGCGGTTGAATATTTACATATTTGGAGGGCTATAAAAAAAGGGCTAAGGCTCTTTGAACTGAAAGCATTATTGGACCAAACTTAATATCAAAACGCAAAAAAAAAACTTGTTAAATCCATGGGAATATCTCATTCAACCATTTCAATTAGTAAAATCATATCTAATGCTTTGATATCATATTCTAATGGGCTTATGACATTGCATTGTTGGCCACATTCATTGCTCGCTTATTTTTTAACAATACGATTTTACGTAAGTGCGAGCAGGACAAACGTATGACGATTCCAATGCTCTGCCCGAACCTCTGCCCAAGCTCTGCTGAGAGCCATGTTGGAACTTGCAATTCGCTCCCGCGGCAAACTTGCAACTGCACTGCTCGCACCAGCCCTAAGCACTGGGAGCGAGCAGTTCAGCTGCAGAAATTCGCCGCGGGACCGAATTAGAGAGAGAGACTGAAATTTGCCCCTTTTTTAGGCTAGGTGGCATCACTGGAAAAGGCACTCGAGAGAGCGGCAGAGCAAATATAGTTCTTACTCTATAACGACATGTCTATATCGATTATTGTACTAATGCCGATCAAAAATGGCTATCCCCAATAATAATGGCTATTCCGTGGTATACATACATACATTCATACATTGATACATCCCCACCTTTCGGGTATTTTGCAGATGCCATCCCGTGCCCTGAGCTCCATGCAGAAACTGACGGCCCTGGACTTTGACTACAACGAGATCGTGCGCGTGGAGGACTACAGCTTCTACGGGCTGCGGCTGTCGAAGCTGAACCTGAAGGGCAACCGGCTGCAGGGGATGCCGGAGCACGCGTTCGCCGGACTGGAGGAGTGCATGCAGGAGATCGACGTCTCGGAGAATGGCCTGCGCACCTTTCCGTTGATGGCGCTGCGCAAGCTGGACCACCTGCGCATCCTGCGGCTGTCGAACAACCGGATAGCCACCTTCTACGGCGACATCCAGTTGGCCACGAACAATGCCTCGGCGGCGGCGGCTGCGGCCGGTGCCTTTCAGTTGCCCTCGCTGATCTTCCTGGACCTGAGCTCCAATCAGTTTGCCGAGATCGGGGACGACTGCTTCCGGGCCTTTCCGCAGCTGAAGACACTCTCGTTCTATGCCAACCAGATCGAACTGGTCCAGCCGGAGGCGTTCAAGAGCCTGCGCGAGCTGATGTCGCTGGACATGTCGCACAACAGGATCATCAGCCTGGACCCCAAGGTGTTCGGGCGGAACAAGCGGCTGCAGACGGTGGACCTGAGTCACAACCACATCCATGCCATCGGTGGGGTCTTCTCCGATCTGCCCCAGTTGCGTGAGGTGTTCCTCAGCGAGAACAACATACTGGAGCTGCCGGCGGACGCGTTCACCAACTCGACAAATGTGGATGTCATATACCTGGAGTCCAATGCCATTGGACACATCGATCCGAATGTCTTTAGTACGCTGGTCAATCTGGACCATCTGTATTTGCGGTCCAACTTCATACCGCTGCTGCCGGTCACGCTGTTCGACAAGTGCACCAAGTTGACGTCGCTGTCGCTGGACAATAATGAGATCCAGGACCTGGAGATCGGCATGTTCCGGAAGCTGGAGCACCTGAGGGAGGTGCGGCTGCACAACAACCGCATCCGGCGGGTGCGCAAGGGCGTGTTCGAGCCGCTGCCCGCCCTCCAGGAGCTGCACATCCAGAAGAACAGCATCGAGGACATCGAGCCGCAGGCGTTCAGCACGCTGCAGAGCATGCAGCACATCAATCTGCAGGACAACCAGCTGACCGTGCTGGAGGACATCTTCGCCGAGGACAACTCGTCGCTGCTGTCGGTGCAGCTGGAGGCCAACTACCTGCACAAGGTGCATCCGCGCACGTTCCGTCGCCAGCGGAAGGTGCAGATCATGTGGCTGAAGGACAATCAGCTGGTCCGCGTCGAGCGCTCCTTCTTTGCGGACACGGCCCAGCTGGGTCGGCTGTATCTGAGCGACAATCGGATCAGGGACGTGGAGCGGGACACCTTTGCCGGTCTGCCGTTGCTGCAGTTCCTCGATTTAAGCGGCAATCAGCTGCGTCAGTTGCGTCGCGACTACTTTGCTCCGCTGCTGGCGCTGGAGGAGCTCAATTTGGCCCGCAACCACATCGAGGCCATCGAGGGCTATGCCTTTGCCAAGCTGGGCAACTTGAAGTCCCTCGACCTCTCGCACAATCCGCTGGTGCAGCTGAGCCGTGACGTCTTCCTGGACGAACTGCCGCTCCATTCGCTGAGCCTGGCCAACTGCTCGCTGCGAAAGCTGGAGCAGCACGCCTTCCGCTCGCTGACCAACCTGAACGAGCTGAGTCTGGAGCGGAACCAGCTGAATCCGGCGGACATCCAGAAGCTGGACATGCCCAATTTGCGGCGCCTGCTGCTCAGCCACAACAACTTCAGCCACGTCGGCTCCGGCGGCATCATGGCCGGCATGTTCGACCGCCTGCGCTCCCTGCAGCAGCTGGCCATGGCCAACTGCAGTCTGGGCCAGATACCCGATCTGCTGTTCGCCAAGAACACCAATCTGGTGCGGCTGGATTTGTGCCACAATCGGCTGACGCAGATGAATCGCAACATCTTCAGCGGTTTGAATGTGTTCAAGGAGCTGAAGCTGTGCCGCAACCAGCTGGCCGAGTTCCCGCACATAGCGCTCTACAATTTGAGCGCCTTGGAGAGCCTGGATTTGGCCCGCAACCAGCTGGCCTCCATTGACTTCTTCAAGCTGAGCGGCACCCTCAATCTGAGGCATCTCGTGCTGCGAGACAACCGGATCACGGCACTCAGCGGCTTCAATGCCGTCAATCTCACCCAGCTGGACAGTGTGGATTTGAGCGGTAATCTGCTGCTCTCGCTGCCGGCCAACTTCCTGCGCCACTCGATCAATCTGCAGCGAGTGGATCTGTCCAGCAATCGGTTCCTGCAGATACCATCGTCGGCGCTGTCGGATGTGTCCATACCGCGGCTGTCGTGGCTCAATCTGACCGGGAATCCGATCAATCGGATCTACACGGTGAAGGAGGAGCGGTATCCGTACCTCAAGGAGCTGTACATCTGCCAAACGAACCTCTCCATACTGACGTCCAAGGACTTTGAGGCCTTCCAGGCTCTGCAGCATCTGCATTTGGTGAACAACCGCATCACCAGGATCTCGCCGGGCGCCTTCAAGTCGCTGACCAACCTGCTCACGCTCGACCTCAGCGTCAACGAGCTGGAGATGCTGCCCAAGGAGCGACTGCAGGGCTTGCGACTGCTGCGCTCCCTCAACATCTCGCACAACACGCTCAAGGATCTGGAGGAGTTCAGCGCAGACCTGGCCGAGATGCAGACCCTCGACCTGAGCTTTAATCAGCTAGATCGCGTCTCCAAGAAGACCTTCCGCCATCTGCACGGCCTGCTGGAGCTGCTGCTCATGGGCAACCGCATGACCGTCCTCTCCAACGACGCCTTCCGCTTCCTGAGGAAGCTGCACGTGCTGGATCTGCGCAAGAACTACTTCGAGCTGGTGCCACTCGATCCGCTCAAGCCGCTGGAGACCAATCTGCGCACCCTCAAGCTGGAGGGTAAGTACTGCTACGATGATGATGATAATATTTTTATTTTATATTTATTGATTAATGCCTCATTTTTAGTGCGTGGGAATATATAATTTTAATTAAAGACTACATTAGCTACATTAGATTTCAAATTAACAGCCATCCCTTCATATGATTTTTATGCTTTGTGCTAGACTGAAAAAAATATATTTTGTTGATCCAAAGACTTAAGCGATTTAAACGTTTGGCGTTGTTTTCACGTTCGCTATGCAAAGTAAACTTTACAGGATGGTACAATTTTAACGCCTTTTTTTGGCGACAAGGTAGCAGCTCTATACACGGAGAGTAAACTCATCTTCAAAAATTGTCCAAAAATGTTTAAAATATTTATACCAAATTTATATTTTAATGAAAGTTAAGAAAATGTCGAATTAAAAATTTTACAGTAAATAAGGATATTAGGAAAGCTTTTACTAAAACCAGAAATGTTTATATTATGTCAGGCAAATTAAAGTACGGATTAGAAAACGAGTCTTAAATATTTTTATTTTAAATGTTTCTCTTTTTTTATTATTATTTTAACCTCAGCTCATATTACTTAGATATTTGTATGAACAAAATATAAGAGCTTAGCCAAGAAAACTTTTAATTAAATATTTTGAAAGCTTTAATTTTAAACCGTTTTGGTTCTGTGTGTGTGTGGATGTGTGTGTGTGTGTGTGTCAACCCGTTGTCATGGCCAATTTGTTGCTTATTGCGTGCTCGTTTCAGAGAATCCACTGCATTGCAGCTGCGACGCCCAGAAACTGTGGGAATGGCTGCGGGATCATCGCAAATGGTCACTTGCCGCGGGCTCCGGCGCTGGAGGAGGATTGGGCGGCCTGGGCGGAGTGGGGGGGAAGGGGGCTGGGCGGCGATTCCATTAATTACCTGAGGTGCGAACACCCAACGGAGCTGCGGGGCAAGGTGTTCGGCCGGATGGAGCCGCAGCAGTTCTGCGACGCCCCGCTAATACCCAAAATGGCCATCCAGGACATCCAGCCCTATTCGGTGGTCGTGTCCTGGCAGAGCCGCGACCATTTGGGCCTCAATGGCTTCGAAATTGTTTACCACGCCACCGGCGACGGACTCGTTCCGGCCGGATCCCCAACGGACCGTGAGCGGGATGGGGTCAGGGGTCACGACCCCGACAGGGAGCGCACCCAGAGCCAAAGTCAGAGCCAGAACCAGAACCGGAATCGCAATCGGGACCAGGAGCAGCGGGAAAGAGAGAGGGAGCGCGAGAGGGAGCGGGACAGGGAGCGGTTCCCCATCGCCACAGATGAGGTAAGTGCCTGCACTGGCAAAAAAAACATGGTATCACACATCATTTCATACCCTATTTAAATATTTTTTGCTTTGACTTTCATCAATTGCCGTTTTTACAACTCTTAAATATGGATATAAAACATTTTTTTCTTAATATTTCATTTGACCATTTTGGGAATCGATTTATATATCTGAATATGTAGATTAAATGTAAATATAAGGCATTCAAAACAAATAGGACCCATTCTAAATTGAATATTTTTATATTAAATCATTTAATTTATTATGTGTTGTATTAAATTAAATGATTTTATATTTCATTTAAATTTAGATTTAAAATGCTCAAATTTTGTATTTCCAGTGTAAAATAATTTACTCCAAAAATTTTTAAAATGAAAATTTACAATATTAAATATTAATTTAAATTTTACAATATTTGTTGGCTTCGAAAACTTTTACTATTTTCCCAGTGTATCAAATTTAAAACTAATTTGACGGTCTGCGCTGCCGACTGATATCCTCGTAATTTCTTTTAATAAACGCTTAATCTAGAGCTCGCCTTCTGTCAGGTTGTTCAGCGAGATTGGGAAGAAGGACACTGCGCCGCATTCGATTTTGGAGGCACAGTGTCTAGAAATGTCGAAAAATTGAATATGAATTGAATGCATTCTTACCAAACTTACTTTTTCAAATTAAACACAAGTTTAGCTATATTTTTCATAAAACTAAGCTTGTTATAATCTTGTCTTTAGTTGTCAGTTAATTTTGTGAGTAATATTAGGGTATTTAAACTTATGTATACCCCTTGTATACCGCTGGCACTATCCAAAGCCTGTTTTGTCCGTATGAACATAATGCCCAAGTGATCCCAATCGATAATTTTTAGAAATATTACTATAGTTCACTGCTCACAAACATTGTTCTGAACTCTTTTGCATGAAATTATGCAAAGCCTCGCGGCACTTTTTGTCCGTATGGCCAGTTTTGTCCGTTTTGTCTGCATGACCGAAGTGCCTTAATATCCAGTGATTCTGTCAATTAGCCACTAACCCATCGATAAATCCTCTTTAGGAAGCATTAGCTCCCTGCTGCACTGTCCGCTCATTACAATTTCTAAACCGGTAGTAAAAACCGCGAACGCCACTGTGCCACTGTGGCCCCGGAAAAGTCGAGGGCCGCAGGGAAAGTTTTTAATAAAGCGGGACACGGCATCGACATTGGCATCGACGATGAAAATGGGAATGAAAATGGGAATGAAAATGAGAATGAGAATGATAATGAAGACGAACCTGCTTAATTTATTCCGCAGATCCATGGCAAGCGGCTAAATGGGACGGCCAGCTCGACGAAGTTAACCAAGCTGAGCCCCAATACGCGCTATCACATCTGTGTCATCGGGAGCGGTAATTGGCTCTCGGAGCCGCTGGCGAACGCACTGCAGCGGCTCCATGCCAACGAGTCCATTCGCGACGACGACTCGCCGATGATGATGTCCGCCCCACTGCCGGACTCCTTTTCGCCGTATCAGCATCAGCATCAGCATCAGCACGCTCGCAATGCCAATGCCAATGCGGCGATGGTGCAGGATCAGAATCTGGAGCAGGATCTGGACAATGCCATCGGTGGGGAGCAGCATGCCCTGCTGGAGGTGCTCAAGAACTCGCACATCTCGGCCTGCACGGATGTGCAGACCCTCGACTCGACGCCCAGCCTGGTGACCGACGAGAACGGGCTGGCCAGCAACGGCTTCATTCACTCCATCCTGACCAGGCGACTGGGCCTGATCGTGGGCTGCTGCCTGGGCATCATTGTGTTCATCGTGATGATCTCGGTGCTGAGCTATGTCAAGCTGAAGAAGCAGCGCATCGAGAACGCCAAGCGGCAGGCCGCCTTGCCGCCGGAGTACATATCCTATCGCCACTTCTCTATTCCCAACGAGGAGCTGACCAGGACAGCCGCCAATGCTGGAGCGGCAGCGGCAGCGGCGGCGGCAGCAGCAGCGGCTTCAGCGGCCGCAGCGAACAAGTCCGGCGATGCTGGCAGCCCGCCGCACATGTCCAGTGTGCCCAGCGGTATTAGTGCGCACATTAGTGGGACCAGCCTGAGTACAGGTGGCACGGGTACGGGCACCACCACCACCACGGCCACCACGCCCATTGGCGGTGTGCCGATTATGGGCGTCGGCATGGGCGTGGGCGTGGGCAAGGCGGGCAGTCCGCTGGTGGGCGTGGTGGACAGCGACCACACCCACAACGCCCACGGTCACGCCCATGCCCATGCCCACCGACAGAACAACGGTTACATGGCGGCGGGTGTGGTGCTCAATACAAACCACTTGAGCGTTTGTTAGTCGCACAATTGAACAATGAGTCAAGCAAGTGAATAACTTAAACAGGGGCAGTCTGTTCCGAGGAAAAAGCGCGGAAGGAGGTTCCAAGTGAAGGGGGGGATGTCGAGAAATTCTACAAAAAACGGTTTGAATACACTTCGCCCACGTACCATCCCTCATTGAGTATTTTTTTGATAAATAAGTTAAGCCTTTGTTTATAAGCATTTAAATTATATCACTTTTTAACACAGTCTGTATGCTCAGTTAATTTTTTCATATTTTTTTTTATGTTGTTTGTGGTTGTCAACTACAAACAGATATTTATGCACTCGAAGCCTAAATAACTTAAATATTTAAATATTTCTTGAATACATTTTCAACACTGTTAATCATTACAAGAGAGAACCCTTCTATAGCATTTATAGTTATATTTCATTTAAAGATAATTGCATTAAGTTTAGTTAACTAGACCCAATCAAACAACTCAGATAGTGAGATCTAAAACAGAAGGCAATTATTTGAAAAAAGTATTTATTGACCAATACAGACATGAATTATATGTGTTTTGATTTATTTAGCAAATAAAAGTGCAACTCAAATACCAATGTTCAAAAATGTAAACCATGTAATCAAAAAGTTAAAAATTTAAAGTCTTTTAAACAGTGTTAAGTAGTATCACTTACTATATTTTTTTAGAAATGAGTTCGTTTTAGTAATTAATGAAGTTCCCGCAAACACAGCGTCGATATCCAGCTTATATGATAATACCCAAAGATAATCGCCCACTCATTCGAGAATAAATGAGTTTTAAGAGGATCTACCGCATGTGTGGTATAAATTTTTGGTGTTCAACAATAAAATCCGCTTTTAATAATGAAATGGATGGCGTGATTTATTGAAATTTTAAGTGAATTAAGTGAATTCAACCACTTCAGCACCCCCTTCAAATCAAATCTGCAATCAAAAAACGAAAATGAAAACGAAAACAAAAACAAAAACCAAAAAAAATCGAAAGCAAAAGCTCCCATATTTCATATTTCAAATGGAGTCAAAAACTTTTGCCAATCAGAGCAAATGCGCAAGCATTTTTATGTTTTGAATGTGCCCGAAATGCATTTAATTTTCGATTGAAAACCCAAAAGCAACCAAAGCCCAAAAAAAAAGGTAAAGAATGATAAATATAGAAAAAGAGAGAAAATCTAGGTTAGTGATAATCATGATGACGCGTTCAACGTTCGTTTAGTTATGACAATTGAAAGTAGAGCACTATGCGAAAAATCTAAAAGCGGACGGCATCGCGGAATTTTCAATGTAAATAAAGTGAAATCAAAGCGAAATCTCAGTCGTAAATGTTGCATCTAAATCAAATTAAGCTCCATTTAAAACTAACTATAAGAAGTACACACCCATGGCCGTATATACCTATATATATATATATATGTATTAATATTAATATATATACATACCTGTAATGGAAAACACACAAAAACGAAGAACATTTTTTTTTTGAGCTAGAATTAGTGAATGGATAATGAATGAGCGATATTTTTTTTTTTTAGATCTGCGCTGAGAAATCAAAGATAAACTAGCTATAAAAAAAACGACATGAAAGCGACGAGACATATTACCACAAATAAGTACTAATTATCTAAAGGTAAAACAATAAAATTAACTAGTTTAAGTGCAGGCCCCCAAAGTATGCATAATTGTTAGCAGAACTCAAAGAGTTTCATATATAAATATATACATACATTTTTTTCTCATAGTTAACTATATGTTTTTCCTATTTTTCGATTCGAAAAATAAAACGAGTTAAGCTTTAGTCGAGGAATGGAAACACACATAACGATTTACTTTAGCAAATAAATATTATGCATAATGACGACAATGCAAACCAGACACAGAAACAAAAGCCAAATAATAATAATAAATTGGCTAAAGAATTTCTAGAAAATTAAGCAAGCGATTTAATTGAAATCAAATTAAAGCCAAACACAAAAACGACAACAAAAACAAAAACACACAACCGGAGCGAGGAGATTCAAAGGAGATTTCCTAACCTTCCGGCTCCCACTTTTCTCCCTGTGTACGTCTCTGTGTGTCTGGGCTTCTCAAATATTTTAATATTGTTATATGCAAAACACAACAACTATAGCATGCATGCTGGCAAACTTAAGAAGCAAACAATAACAATGGCCAGAGGAATAAGAACGCAAAATGCAAATCAAAATCAAAAAATCGAACTTAAGACAACATGAAATAAACAAAAACCAAGACAAAGGAAACCCAAGCAAAAAAAGTAAAAAAAAAGTATAACACTAAAGAAGGCTTTGTTATTCTCTACAAGAAAAAAAGCCAACAAAAAATGCATCCGCTGCCATGCCGAAACCCTTCTCTTCAATTCTAGTTCAATTGTAGGGCATAAAAAGCAAAAAAAGGAAAAAAATACACACACAAAATACACACAGATTGCAGAGGTAAAAATTAAACAAACATACAGCAAACATGCAATAAATGTAATAAATTAAAACCCAAAAAACCAAAATATTGTATGGCAAGCAACACAAAGTAAAATATTAATAAAAGACAAGAAACTTTCAAATAAAAGCAAAAGTGGTTTTTCATTTGATTGCAGTGGATATTTGCACACGGTATTGTATTTGCGCCCAGCCTTTAAATATTCACCCATCACCTGTGTTTGCCCACGACCCAAATGGCGCAGTATGCTGACTGTATATGAATATCTGTTTACGGCATGATTCCACCTTTTTTATTACAAATCAAGCGTTGCGGCCAGGGCAGAGGCAACAGTGCGAATGGTTAATGGTTAAAGCAAACAGTGCGTATGAGTAATATTCTTGAGGTTTTTCAATTTGAATATTTTGTTATTCGAATATTTTATTTTTTTAGTTTTAATGTTACCACCAATGTTAAAATCGGCATAGAACCGTAGGTCAGTATGAGAGATATATGCCAGCTACGCGATTTATTTAACCGATTTTGATCAAATACCAAAGAAGAGGTTAAATATATACCATAAAAACATGTTAAGTTTCCTTCCCTTGGTGCGATAGCTTCAAGGTAATTAAAGATTGGCTTACTTTCAATAAAACTGCATATTTATGTAAAATGGTTAACTTTCAGACATGGAAAAGTTTGCCAAATAGATGTCTGAGTTCGTCATCGAACTCCGAACCAACTCCACTTGACTGCTGTTCCCTTCAGTAGGTCACATGCGCAGGACCTGGTGTCTACTTTATTTTTTTTTATTTTTTTTTTATTTTTTTTTTTCATTTACATGCACCTGCCGTGCAGCTTCTTTTCAGTGTTTTGTGTTTATACCCATTATCCTCAGAATAAAAGGGTATATTAATATCGTTGAAAAGTAAACCTCAATAAGACCAATCAATCTATTGCTTTTGAGATCAATTGTAATTAAAAATATCGGAAATTTTAGCTTAGTCTTGGAAGTAGTTAAGTACTTCTACCAACTTCAATATGCATATTTTATTTATTCGTGCAGGTTGAGCAACGGGTATCTTATAGCCGGGTAACTCAACTACTGTGTTCTCTCTTGTTTTTGTTGCAAATTTTTAATTAAATGGAAATTTCCGCTGTCTTGAGCACGTTTTCTCATCAACGGCATTAAATGCTATGCAGAATTTTAATTAGGCTCGCAACACACACCCACAAATATACATATGCAAACTCGGCGACGGTGGGTCCATGCAACAGGATTTGCAGTGCAAAGACATTGCTGGTCGGGGAATTGAGTCCTGTCCACGGCAGCCCAAAACAAATCACAGTGTATCAACAACTAAGCCAAGTGCAAACGCAAACAACGAAATTGGGCCGCTAAAATGACGCGACTCAAATCTACTTACCTGCAACAATAAGTAAGTAGGCCGCCGCCGCCCAAGTTGTTTAATTAAAACCAACTTTAATTGACAAGATTTTCTGCTTTCGTCCTCTCATTTCCCAGCTCCTGACCACTGTAAATATGTCGCTCTAATTGAAAATAATCAAACGGATGGCAATAGTCCATCGAAGTTAATTGGCTAGCACGGCGAAGGGTAAAACACCCAAACACTTAAACGTCTTGCTGCCAGTGGAAGGTAAAGAATAAAGGTATTACATGGAGGAGAATAAACACTAAAGACATTTAATTAAAATTCCCATTAGTAACAGAATTTAAAATGCTCGAGCGTATTCTTTAAGGATATTGTTTATTTGGATTGGCCTTTGAAGTCAGTATATATGAAGATCCCTTAACTGTAACAAATTCGAAGAGAGAAGTCAGCTTCTATGAAAAGCTCAGCTTAACCAGTGCTACATGTACATTTATCAAATATATATTCGCCAATAGAGTGCGAAATGCTATATTCTTTACCTCAGATGGAAAAACGTGTGTCCGAAGGGCCTTCAAAACGAAATTTATGACATAAATTTGTACACGAAACGTATGTTTTGTCATGTGGCCATTTATTGTCCGCGCCTCGCCATTTTCAACGTACATATGTCCTCTCCTCTCCTCACCACTCGCCTCGTTTTTTGTTTTATTTGTTTTTTTGTTTTTTTTTTTGTTCTCTACAACTTGTTCCAGCAAAATTGGCTTTTTGTTCTATTTTTTTGTTCGACCCAAAAATATCTTTGTTTGTTTTGCAACTTTTGTGCATTTTTTGTGTGTGTGTGTGTGTGTGTATTGTGGCCAGCGAGGGGAGTTTGCAGAAAAAGTGCAAAAACTAAGGGGGGAAAAATAGAGCTGTCATCGGGCATAAAAATATGTGTGTATAACAAACGGAATGACACTTGAAATGGTGTTTTCCACCAGAGGGTCAGAGTGTGAAAGGTGGTAAGGTTATGCGCAGACAAAGTTTCAGTCCCACAAAGCCGATTCTTTTGTAATGTCCAGTGGCGAAATCCCTTTGACTGAATCGTGTAGTACCAAAATATAAGCTGCAAGGCCTACAATCGATACATAACCAAACGAAACTAAATGTAGAAGGGTTTCCACATCGTTTTGTTCATCCCATAAATAATACATTTAAATAGAAAATTTACTTGAAATAATGAGAGATTTTCCAGTAGAGCTTTTGAATATTTTTAATGAATTTATAGGCTCAATTCTGTACCAGAAAATAGGAAGCAAGTCATAGAATCGATACATGACCAAACAAGACTAAAATTGGTAAAGAATTCCGCAGTGAACTGGGTAATTTTGTTAATTGCCTAAATTATACATTTAATAAGAACAAGTATATGAAATTTAGAGAGTTTTCAATAAAACTTCTAGTATTTTTAAAGAATTTATAGGCTCAATTTAGCACTCTCGCCTTGAAAAACCCAGAAAAAGTTGATTTATTAGTTGGCAAAACTCTTAAGACAAAAGCAATTCAAGTCATTTGTTTTATCTAATCGGAGGACTATCTGTAACTATTTATCAATAGATATATATGTATTTGAGGCTGGCCAAATTTGGATTGGGAAATCCTTTCAAATCAAAAAGTTGGCCAATTTTCGACTTGATTTCTGTCGCCGACGCCTTGGTGCGAATATTTTGCGCGCTTCATTGATTTAATGGAAAAACTTTTCGCCCAGTTTTGTTACTTTTTTGTTGTCCATGCCGTTGTTTACGAACGCCATATACATATGTTTGTGTGTTTATAGTATATATGCAGGGCTGCCCACAAATAGCCGCCCATAAATCGAATCGAATCGAGTCGAGATGTGTTGGTCAGGTCCGGGGCTATCATAAAAACAATATGTATGCTGGATATGGTTGGAGCCGCAGTTTGTGTCTGATTTGGCCAGAAGTC